ACCCCCCAAGATGTTACCAAACTCCAAGATGATCTTAGTACTCTGGTAAAGTGGGCAGATACCTGGGATATGAGGTTTAACCCTGCGAAGTGTCAAACGTTGAGCGTTAACAGGAGTAGGCCTCCAGTAACCACATCCTACAGCATGATGGGAATCGAATTAAATAAAACTGATCGATGCCAATATTTGGGTATAATCCTTCATAAAGACCTCCGGTGGAATAAGCAATCTGACCACGCAGCCAACAAAGCTACCAAAATTCTTAACTTCATCAGGAGAAATTTCTACCACTTATCCGCTGTCATTAAAAAAAAAACTCTACCTGACTCTAGTACGCCCTCACATTGAATACGCCGCAGCTGCCTGGGACCCATACACCCAGAAAAACATCGAGCACCTCGAAAAAAAATCCAGAGGCGAGCTGCTAGGTTTGTCACCAACACCTACGGACGTGATACATCTATCTCCTCAATATTAAATACTCTGGGCTGGACCCCTCTGCAAGAGAGAAGAAAACAACACCGTTGCTCATGTTTTCAGAAGATCCTCAATGGCCTGATGGACATAAACCACCACGACTATATTACACCAAAACCAGCCAGACCCAGACGAGGACACAACCAATTCCAAATTCCTCTGACAAGGACCGATGTTTATGCAAACTCCTTCTTCCCCCGCACTATTAAAGACTGGAATCTCCTGCCCGACATTATCGACTGCAATATAAACCCCGACCACTTCAAAGCAGCACTTACACAGCAAAGCAACGAACAATAATTTTAGACCGACCACTCTCTCCGCGCCTCCTGTTTAAATCCCTCACTGGGATATTATGAGGATAACCAACCAAGTACCAAGTACTAAGTAGTGGTGTTTATCCATGAAAAAAGCACGCCGGGAAAGTTTACCTTACCAGGAAACGGTGACGTAATCTTATGACGTATGCATGTGAACTATATTGTGAGTGTGACGTCACCAACAAAATAAAAACTTTCTATTATAACAAGGATATTAATAACTACAAAGTTTGTGGGCGTAAATTCCATAATACGAATTAAGGGTAGCACCATCTCCTTGCCATACAAATTACAGCTCCCACTGACGTCTCAGTCGAGAAATACGGGTAGCTGAAGTTTTTTCTTGGAAATCTGACTACAAAACCAAATCCAAATTTCACGTTCCACTTCTGACTTTAAGTTGTGGTTCGCACACGCCAATGAGGGAGGCATTCCGGCAACTCTGCGTCTAGCAGCCACGAGGAACATTGTTTAAATATTCATCAGAATAATTATTTCGTCATCAGAAATTATACATAACTCAAACTCTGTAGAGTGGATCGACTCAACACAGGTTTCTACGATCGGCCTCACACCAAGTATTGGGAATTTTGATGCTGGATTTAGTGTGTCGTATACAAAATAAAAATTAGACCTATATACAGATAGTCAATAGCTGAAAACAGCTTTTAAATAAAAATGAGACAAATACATTTTGGAGCTGATTTATTGTAATTTCATTTGTATTACATCCCTGTATTCGTGTTGTAGAGCCAGTGTAGGCATGGTGTACAGTTTTTGGGGGAGGGGGTCCTTACGAGAAAGGTGGGATGCATGTGCATATGACTATGGTTTTAGGAGGGTTATTTAGGACTAGAATAAAAGCAATAATTGTAAAGGCGTTAGGGTAGCACTAACTGTCGTATGAAAAAATTATAGCTAAAAACCACTTTTAAAGAATGTGACCAAGGACTTTTGATTTAGCAGTATTAGATTGGCAAATGATTATATTAAGACGTATGAGGAGTCAACCACTACTCATTTTATATTATTATTATTATTATTATTATTATTATTAATAGTATTTACAATAATCAATTTCTATCTTTAAAAAGTGTGTAAAATAAGAACATTGAGCCTGTATTTTGCTAAACATAAAAGGACAAAACTGCTTCTTATAAAAAAGTGTACTAAGTTAAAGTAAGTGTGCTTAATGTACTGAATTAAAATTGATATTGTCATGGTAATAGGCATAGTTATAGGCCTATCTGTCTTACTAAAATATTACTTAATGTTTGCGTTAAATTAGCTTGTCAATAATAGGCATAATTAATAGGCTATATGTTATTTATTAATCATCATTATTGATAACTATTAATATTATTAAGCATTATTCAAGTTTTGGGGTAATATTCGTGTATTAAAGATGATTAATAAAGTAAAATGATGATGATGTGAGTACACTGTAATATCGATCTCCATGTTTCCTTGCTTCATATTTACAACTTTACAATTATTAACTTTACAAATATACAAATGTCTGCATAATGTAACAGACTCGGCCGGCCCTCCCATAAGTATGGTTTTCCTAAAAAAAAAAAAAATGGAAGAACCTTATGCATTTGTTTCCAGTGGTGGGGCCAGGAATTTTCCGACAAGAAGGGGTCCGATTGGGTCCAAGGTGACGACAAAGCCTCAAAGGTTGGCCCGGAACTTTCCTGTTGGAGATTATAGGGAGAGTTTTTATGGTTTTATTTGGTCTTTGCATTTAGACCACAATATTAGTGATTGGCAATCATTTGGATAGACAAATTATTAGTTTTTTAAATTTTGGTCCGACGGGGGGAGATTAAGATCTAATACACTACCCCTTGATTGTAAAACGTGTAAATGGTCAAATGATGTTTCAGGCATTTGCACCCTATGTGAAAGTGAAGAAATTAAAGATGTCAAGCATTTTTTACTAAATTGTCCCGCTTATAATATCATTAGAAAACAATATTTAACATTTCTTGAAAATGACCTTACTCTGCAAGGATTATGATACATGGACACTTTTTTCAACAACAAATGACGATAATATTAAACTTCAATATGTTTTAGGAGGAGATTCAGTCTTTATTTGTGATGAATCTACCTCTATTTTTGATAATTTCTGTACAAAAATACATCATGAATGCTTGGGAGAAACGCTCACAACTAAAATATTCACAAAAATAGTTTAGTGTAAATGTATTGTTGCTTATCACATTGTGTTTTTTGTTTTTTGTTTTTTTTTTTTTGGTTTTTGTTTTTGTTTTTTCTTTTACCACAAGTGGACTCTACATCGTAGTCTGTATTCCTTAAGTTAAGTATGTCTACCTTGGTATAATCTTTTTGTTGTAAGAATTTTTCATCTTCAGATCTTATATTTTTAGGTTAGTTATTTTAGGCATTTACTTTACAGTAGACCTGTATTTCTGAGTATGAAATGTGATTTTTTTTATCTCATCTAATTTAATATGTTATTTTTCTATCTTTCTTTAATTTTGTAATATTAATTCTTATACAGTCGATTGTTGTTTATTTTGTTCGTTAAATTTTACCCTTTTTTTTGTTTGTACGAACGCACCAATTGATATTTAGTGCCACCGTTTCAAATGTGTATGTTCAAATAAATAAATAATTAATTAAATGAACTACGGGGTACTTTTGCAACTCCAGATGTCAGGTTTAATCATGTACACGTCGACTTGGTTGGGCCACTTCCACCAGCGGATGTTAATACTTATCTACTTACCTGCATTGATCGCTTTACCTGTTGGCCAGAAGCCATTCCAAATCCTAAAATCACAGCAGAGGCGGTTGCTAAGGCTTTTGTAGGAGGTTGGATATCAATCTTCGGAGCACCTTCAACGATTAATACAGATCGCGCGTGGTCGCCAGTTTGAGTCTGCATTCTTCGATTCATTAGGTGCTCCTTAGCCTGCGTACTGTGGTTAAAGGGAATTTGGATGTTCGACGGCGGAACTCTTAAACTTCCGGAACAATTTGTTTCACCTGTTTATGATGTTGAGCTTGATCCATGTGATTATGTAATAATAATAATAATAATAATAATAATAATAATATGCAGGTTTTTATATAGCGCTCAATACAACTACAAGTCTAGAGCGCTTTTTCACATTATTATCCCAGTCATTGGAACGATGCCTATGGGGAAAATTCCATAGTTTGCTGTATGAAATAGGCTATACCAGCGCATTTTGCACTCGAACCTCCTTAGGTACCCAATTATACTCCTGGGTGGAGAGAAGCAATGCAGATAAAGTGCCTTGCTGAAGGACACAAGCGAAATGCACAGCGAGGGATTGAAACCAAACCGTTCCCGCTGCGCCAAACCACTTCCACTAACCATGGAGGAATTCACTAACATGTACATAGAATAAAACGTGTAATGCAGAGAATTTGACCATTACCTACCTGCCCAGCGGAACGAAAATCTCTACTTAATAAAGATTTAGCAAACCGTACATTTGTTCATTCGGAGAGAGTATGGAAACCACTTGAATCCTCTTACACTGGGCCTTTCAAGGTATTACAGAAAACTGAAATGTTGCTTATCTAAATGAAGACGTTGATAGTTGTATCGTTCCAGAGGTCGGTGTTAAACAAGCATCACCCAATTTGGACGGTAATAAGAAACTACCAAGTTTCAAAATCGAAGTCAAGAACACCGCAGTTGCGACAAAATCGAACGCGATGTGTTCATTGGCCAAAGACGTTTGTAGATTATGATTGCACCTAAAAAACTAGTAGGACAGAAGAAGTAGTATTGTTTTGTTTAGGCCAATTGGAAAAAGAAAATAAAGACTTCATCACTCGCTGGAGTGCTCCATCGTTCTAGGGGGAGTTGTAGTGACTCGTTAGCGATTTTACGTATTGCTAACAGCAGGTGTTAGCGTTAATTTACACAACACAGAAACATTTTTTTTTTACGTTTGAAAGGAGTAGTTCGTTTCTTCTTTGTATTGAGACGTGTACGTGAGGACCTATTTTCCATAGGAATTACGGTGTATGTGTGTGCTATATTTTTACTGCATCCTGTTACCGTACTGGAGACGTTATTTTATTTTTATATACAGTATGTGTATCTTTGTTGTCTCTGGACAACAACGCCGAATATGCAGAAGAGTAAAGTACTTTTATCCTTCCTACTGTTACTAAAATAACAAGGTTACCCACATGTCATATTCTTGAACAGCTTCTGTAGTTTGTTGGTTTCTTGAAATCCCTTCACGCATTGGATACAAGCGTTGTTTAAACACTCTTCCATATCATGAAAGTGATCTTGCAAGTCTGACCAACACATGACACGAAGTACATAACCAGGGTGCTTAATTCCACGCGTCAACGTTTTCAACTCTTTCTTCAAATACTCCAACACCTTAAAAAAAATTAAACTATTACAATTAAACATTACGAAATATAAATGAAGATAAAAGCAATTATAATACCAGTGGCGTAAAAGGCTGGGGGTGGGGAGGGGGACAGACTGCCCCCACTGACGGTTTTTACCGGGCTGACCAAGCCGTCGTACCGGGCTGGGTAATAAGAGAAAAGAAAAAGAGGGAGGGAAAGAGAGAGAAGGGGAAAAGAAATGGAAAGAATATAGGAAATGAGTTTTACTGAGTTTTGATCAATTCCGACGAAATTAGAATTAAAAACACCAAAAAAATGTTTTTCGCGCTTCGCGCGCATTTTGTAGGGTGTTTTTTTTAAAGGGTTAGCCTTCTAAGTTATTTAAACACATAACAGTCCCAAACTCAAAAAAAATTTAAGACAGATCGTTTTACCTAAAAGAAAGGGCCTAAATGTGTAATGATGGTGAAACAATATGTTTGTAATAAATAAAGCCATAATGAAAATGCTTATATTCAGTTTCAAAAAAATGTGTGTGGCCATATATAACATTAATTACAAACCGGGAAAATTATTACCTTTGCCCCCCCCCCCTGACCCAAGACCCCTGTTATGCGCCTGCATACTACAGGTATAACTAAAATTATTAAAAAAGAAAATGTTAAAAGAGAACTACTGTTAACTAAAGGTCGCATTGATAAGCTATTGGGTTATCTTATTAAATGTGTATATCTAACAAATAAATTATTTATTTTTCAAAGTAGTATAATATCACCTGCATGCACACAATAGGACTTAGTTCTCCTGTCCCAGTATCTGTAGGCTTACCATTGACTGATATTTCAAGCTAAAATTAAAAATCGAAAGGTTAGAGTCATTCAAACGTTTGATAAAATGCAAAAAAAAAAGAAATAAATTCATCAAGGTATTAGTAAATAGTATATATTTTCTTAAACGAAATTATTAAAAAAAAATACTGTTACTTGCTTCTATCTACAATTAATAGCTATATTTGTTTTAATTTGTTTTGTATAAAGACTACATTTGTAACCAGCTGAAAGATTATTGTTAGAGCAAAGTGATACAATACAAAGGGCACGCATCTTATGCATCGATGCTGTATTGTGTATGTTGATACCATCTGAGACTTTTGTTTAACAACACTTATTGTCCTTTTGCCATTAAATATTTTCATATTCTTCGTTTTTCATTTTTGCTAATATAAATTACCTTCTAGAAGAGGGTCATCTTAAAATTTACTGATCAATAAATATAACCTTACACAGTGTCTAAAGTACCATTCAAACATTTTGAGAAGGTATGTATGAGAATCGCTGCCTCTTAGCTTTCCCACGAACCTTAGTTAAAACCAACTGTGAGATTATATTCTTGCATTATTCGTGAGCTTTCGTGAAAACATGATTTTTGTGGTACACCAAGTCAAGTTGATATATGCAAGAAAATATATCTAAAAGTGATATTTTGAAATTAATTGGGTATTAGTTTATTATTATAATTATAATAATTATTACGAAGTGTTTATTATACCGGCGCCGGAAAATATGCCAAAATAGCTATTTTGCCGGTCTATTCTCTGATTGGCTATTGTAAAGTATGGCGTCATCAAATTTCCGGTAGCGAGCTGTATGGTTTCCAGACACCGGTATAGAATCACAATTAGTGGGGGTTTTTTTTATCAGCAAGCTTAGTTAATGTATAATAAAACTAACTATTGTTTAACATTGTTCCCCACAGAAAACTTCAACACTTTTGTATTTACAGTATTAAAATAATGATGGTCATGTTTGTATTGTATCGATCGTATAAACAATAGCAATAAAAATTGAATTAAGACACAAGTGATTTGTTGCAGGTGTCAGGCGTGGTCGGGCCTCGCTGAAACCTTTCGAAAGTGATCCAGGGGCAAAGCCCTCCTCAGCCCCCACTCCAAATTCCCCACCCCCATCAAGGGAAGGAGGGTCCGCCCGAGGCGCCCCCGTAGTGTCCCATTATTAATTATTGAATTCAAAACAGAGAACATTCAAATAGTATTGTCGAATATATACCGAACCCGATCGGTCAAAGCAGTCTACCGATTAAAGACGATCACAGTGTGCTGCAGTTGTAAAAACTGCACCACCAATCGTCCGCCCTACAGCGGAATGAATTTCTCATCATCACTAGCCTAAGTCGTGGTGGTTGAATGGATCTAAGTAGGTCTACTCTATCTACTGTACACTAAGCCCAATTGTCTGACACGGTTAGCATTAGGAATCTCTCTCAGTTTGCCAATATGTCTTGACATATATCTTTTTCTCAGCCTCCTTTTATTTTCTTTATTTTATTTATTTTTTTTTGGTTTTAATCAAATTCTTTTGTTTTTGTTTCGACATCCAACAAAAAATATCACCAGCCTGTAAAAAATTCATCAGCCATGGTGTTTTGGCTTTTCGTGTTTCTTTCCCGATCCTTCGTTAAAGTTACATTTATATAGCGCATATTGCACAATGCCTCTTTACATAAAATTTTAAAAATTATAGGAAAGATCTTGAATTTACAATATAATAGGGTGTGGTGGCAAAACAACGCTAGGTCTCAAAGGGTCAAATATCCGCCTCTGCCCTGGCGCATTCCCGGTCCCCTACCTAGGTGGTGCGAACAAAGGAGCAGGTTTCACATTTGCCCTGCCACAGGCGACCGGGTGCTCAGAGTCTGCGACCAAGATAGCGGCCCCTAGAGACAAAGCAGGCCACTCCGTTGTGAAGGAACACGATATAAATTATTAAACAGTTAATTGTTGAAATAAATGGGTTTTAAGTAGTGACTTAAATGTGTCCACTGATTTTGATTCTTTTATAAATAATGGTATGTTGTTCCAATTACGGGGAGATGGTGAGGAAAAGGCACTGCTGCCATAAGTGATTGTATATGTTTTAGGAACATGCAGGAAGTTTGTAGATGCAGATCTTAGTGAGCGATGTTAACGATGCTCTTCAATGAGTTCTCAGATATACGTGGATGAGTTATATAGTTTACTTTTGTAAGTGACCAGCAGTATTTTAAATATTATGTATAACAACTTAATTACCTTCACGCAGGGCTTGTTATCGATGATTAATTGACCTAGGCTGAGAGTGTGATGTCCAAACTTAATGGTTGCCTTGTTGTAGAATAACTCGGGTGCAGTCGTGTAGCCTTTAGCTTTAACCATTTCAATCAACTTGACAACTAAACGATGAAAGATAGTATCGAGTAGAAATCCATCGGAAATTATGTAGATAGATACCATCTGATCATTGTCCGGTGTACAAGTCATTTCCTCCCCGCTACATTTCAGTCGGCATGGTACGAAAAACGAGCGAGATGCGTTCTTTTCGTTCTAATTAAAATTGAAAGCAAACCAAATTAAACAAAATTATAAATATTTCTGATATCTTTCTACAATTTTATTTTGATCCATAAATATAATTATACACTCATTTATTGGGTACAAGAAAATCGATTTGTATTAGGCCTACCGGATGTAGGCCTACCGTCGCTAGTCTACCTGGGAAAACAGATCGTTCGAAACTTTAGTGCGAGTACAAATCCTATTGTTTTTACAGATGGATCAACAAAGAAGTCTAGGATGAGAGAGTATCATGTTTGTTAAAGTAAATGTGTGATCACCCTCATAACAATAGCAAGATATATCGACCTTCAGTAGTTTTAATATGACACTGACAGGTTCATCAGTGCTATAGTATAAAAACTAAAGTACAAAACAAACCTTGATCTGTTCGCACAGTAGTCCAAACTGTTTCATCAAGTTCAAGAAGACCTTAAAGGTAGTTTCATCTTCGGCAAGTTCTTCGCTCCAAATATATCTGATTAACTGTTCCTCTAATATACCTTCATAATCAAGTTTATTCCATATTTGGATCTAAAAGTACAGTAATTTTAAATTTAATTTTATCTGACTAATAACTGTATCACGTATATAACAGAATATGTTTATAGAACATATTATTTTGTTAACTCACCATCTTGTTGTTAGCATTCACTGCTGTGATGAGTTTCTCGGTAATATTATTCACCTTCCATGGGTTTAATACCACTATATCTCTTAGTTGTCTGTTTTGTTTGAAGTGCATGACAATTCCAAGATCGTGTAAGTAGTTGAGAGTATGTTTGAGATTCTCTTTTGAAATTCCGCACTGAGTGGCTAATTTACACACCTTCAGTAATACAACGTTATTATTTTATAAATCAGAACAACTATAAAGACTTTAATAATTCAGGAAATTTGAGATACTCTACTAAATTACTAATTATTACTCATTTTATATCAGTTTATTAAGAAAACTGAACAAGTATCCAGAAATTCAAGACAGTCGATAACAACATATTTTTTCATAGTTTATGAAATGATAATGAATTCGTACCTCATCATAAGCTACATGAATTTTCTGTTGACCCATCTCCTCTAATAGATGTTGAAATTTATACCATGTAAGTGGAATCGTGTTTTGCATGTCTTTCAGAAATCCATTAATATCTTGTTCAAGTGTTTCCTGAAACTCGCTTCCAGTTGGAGACTCGTTGTCGATAAGGTACATTTTTCTCACCACGTAACTTTCATAAGGAGTGCCTTTGATTTCTTGAAATAATATTCTAAACTGTTCTGCAGCCTAAATATAGAAATCACAATCATTAATTAGACAATGCAAATTGCGTTTTGGCACAGCGAAAACGGTTTGATTTCCCAACCTCGATCCTCGAGTTTCAACCCCACGTTATGCATTTTGACTAGTCTACAAAGGTTCCAAATACATTAAAACCAAGTACTGCAGTTGAGTTTCTGGCGGTAAATTATTTTTTATTGAGTAAAGTGAAATCAACTGCACGACGAATAAAAGTAAAATTATAAAGCTAACAAGAAGTTAAAAATTCAGAAAATCTCAATGAGATGCTGTGAATAAGGCAAAAAGTGGGCTCATTCATCGTTTTTTTTGACTAATGAAACAGGAAAAAGTTTACATGAATCTTCAAATAACAGTACTTTTCAAAACAAGGCCTGTCAAAATTAATTGTTAATTTAAAAACAATTAGCTATATGAAATACCGACGGCAATGTATGTCAAAATACTGTGGAAGAAATATTAAAGATTTACCATTCTAGAGACTCTACACTTCCTTTTCTTTCCTTGCATATTTTCCATCAAATTGAACTCAATCAAATACACATCGCTTGTCAGTGAAATCTAAAACAAATTGTAGGAATTGTTAAGACGTTCTGCGGCGGATGCAGGATTTAGCGGTAGGAGTGCGTGCAAAAAATTGAAGAATTAGTACCTTAGATGGCCGGAAATGACACATTTATAATAGTAAAATTCATCATTATCACATAAATATATCATTATATAGTCAAAATGAAGCGCCAACAAATTTTCATGATCTTGTTTTTTTTTATCGTCGATTTTCGGAAACCATAAAGATCTAAGTAGTATGTGTGATGAACCATAGAAATATAACTTAAAAAACATTCTCTTTGGTGTATTTACTTTACCTACTTCAAAGCAGTGAGTCCACAACCACCTCTGTCCCACCATGGTTTGGGCTGTGGTGGGTGAGAATATTTGAGGAAATAGTACCTTTAGATGGCTGGAAATGACACTTTTATATAGTGAAATTCATCATCATCCCACCATCATGTCTAGATGAAGCGCCAGCAAATTTCTCATGATTTTTAATCATGGATTTTTTAACACAGCGATCTAATTATTATGAGTGATGTACCATTAAAAAAAACAATTTTTTAATTGTATTTTCTTTACTTGACCTACCTCAAAGCTGTGTGGCCACATTCACCCCACCACTGTAATTTGTGGCTGAGGTGGTAAAATTTGGGGACATTTTACTGATGATTGCCTGATGTGACACTGTTATATGTAAAATTCATTATTATCGATCTAATTAATCGCTGTGATGTATCGTAGAAAATAAAAAACTTAATTGTCTTTGATGTATTTACTTTACCTACTTCATGTGCCAAAAACCAATTTTATCTTTGCACGCTTTTTCTCATACTTCTGAAAAAGGAACGCGCACTAGAATCGTGTATGATAGGTAATTCAGATGTTTGTGGGCAGAGTATACCGGTTTATATTGCTATAAAATTAGATGTACTCTGGCTGTAGACCTACCGCGCTCTTTCGTTAAAACCCGAGTCATTTATGCAGTTTATTTCAACAATTTTGAGGTATATCTTCTTTATTCTCGAAAAGTGAGGGTGACCAACCTTTTTCCCTTAAAAATGTGTTTGGGTGGGGGACGTGTTCTCCTTCCCCAGTGATCTGCACCCATGGGTCCGTGAAGAGTCCATTTCACCTCAGCCCAAACATTGTTGGGGCTGAGGCGCGAAAAGTGTGAGAATATCGAGCTCAGGGTGCCATGAAATTACACTCTCATACATTTAAAATCTTACCAATAATTCATATCAACAATATAATATAACAATTATTTTTTCTAATAGAATAAACCGGGGTGCGACCGCACCCTGTGCACCCCCCCCCCCGCATCTGTTCCAGAAGTTTGAAACTATGATGTTTTAAAACTACTGCAATATACTAGTAAAAGTTTTATTATCTTTATTGTTGTTTGTTTCACTGTCGTGCTTATATCCAGGCAGAGCTGACATGTCGTTACCTCAGTGAGTTTTATGGTCTAGACAAATATAAGTTTTTTTTATACAGGCTCCAAAAGTGACATCATGTGTAAATTTGGGAAATCTGTATTAATCTGACTACTTACTGGGTGAGTAATATCGTATAGCTGCTGACCAGCGAAGTCCCAAATGTAAGTAATGTCTTCGTTAGCAATCATCTCTGAAAATAGGAATAATTTATATTTTTACATTCCTTAGAGAGCCTCGCAAAATAAAGCAACGCGTATACCCGTCTACAACGCGTGGTTGGGGATTAAAATCTCTTCGCGTTGACGACGAGTGGTTCAAGATACTGATCAAAAATTTGGACGATTCCATTTCGCGATTTAGGGTTCGTTTTCCGAATTTTTTGTTCTACTTGTTTGCGTCGGTTATCTCGTGATTTTGATGTACTGTAATTTATCGACAAGTCTCTTTTCTATGTTTTGTCATAAGTTTCATTCATTATTATGAATTAATTTTAATATACTATATCCTGTCATTTGTTATTGAGCTATTCTGTAAAATTTTAAAACCGAAATGTCGAATACCAAGACTCGAAACCCACTGAAATTTCCTATACACTTTTATACTGTATTATAATCAGGCCAAACTCATGTTTTTTTGCCATGAATATTGACCGGATAAACGCAATTTAATGCCAGTATAGTGCTTTTTCTAGAACTATTCATAGGAACATTCCCACGCTCTGCTGCTATGGAAATACAGACTGAATCAAAGTGTACGTGTCATTGATCTTGCTGCCTGCCGAGTTA